CTCATGTAAACAAATGCTCTTGTTAGTGTACTCATGTAAACAAATACTCTTGTTTGTGTATTTTATTTAGTCATGGTGGTTTTCTTGTCACATTTGGACTATAACAATAACAACATACAGCACATGACAGTTATTAAACTATTATTGGTATGATGGCAAGCAAGATCTTTTATTATTATTTATGTTACTGTTGTTTTAGTAATCTAACTTTATTACAGTTATGAAGGTTTCTTAATTCATTCAAAAGTCCAAACTTTATTTGTGAATGTTGTTTACAAGATAAAATGCGGACTGTGAACAGGCCAAGTCAAATATTTAACAGTTTGACTCCAGTTTTTGTTTATAAAGAACTTGAAATTTAACTTTGCGGTCAGTTATTAGGGACGGACGGATAACTGGATTTAGATCATTTTCCTCTCGACCAGCTTAACTTGTGATGGGCATTCAGAATTTTTTTAGGAGCCTGAACACAACACAGTTAATTTGCTATATATAAATAAGTTTTTCTGCAACATAGTTAATTTGTTATAAACAAATAAATAAGTTTTTCTGCAGTCTGTGAATGCATTATGTCTAATGGCTGAGAGACTTGCCAATTTGTAGTATCTTTGAAGTGTTTATAAATTACATCAAATATATAATAAAAGTGTGTTCTCCAGAGATGTATGTTCTGCTTATTTTACTGCTCATCAACATGTAAACAGAGGTTTGATTTTAAAGTACTTTAGCACGCAGTCATTTTTTTTTATTTCAACCAAAATTTAGAAAAAGTTTTTTGTTTTTTTTGCATCTGTCAGTTGTAGCTCCTAAAGAGAAATCAGTTGAGACGCCTGCAGTCAGTCTCTATCAGTCAGTCAAACTTTGCCACAACATCTGCTGCAAGTTTCTCTTAAAGGATTTAATCCAACAAATCCTGAACAGACAAGTGATATTTATTAATCTGACCTGAACCAGGTCTCTTGCTATGAGCTCGGTTTCGGTGGATGGGATCAGGTCATCCAGAACCTCCCACCTCTCCCCGAGGCGGAACTCCATGATGTATCTGTCGATGGGTGAGGAGTGGTTGCCTGGAGGGAGCCACGTGAGGAGGACACCGTGCTGCGTGCGATTGGCTGTGAGGCATCGTGGTGGAGTAAGAAGCACCAGCGGTTCCGCGGTACCCTGGGGAGAGCCTGTGGACCAGGAGGAACATAAACCAGAAAAACAAAAGGAGGTAATCTGAGAGCATAATCTGGTCAGAACTTTGAAAGCCTCAGTTAGTAATTACTTAATAATAAAAATATCATGTTTTAGACAATCTGTCATGAAATCTGTACTTTTTTTTATTTTTTCCTGCATGAAACAAAACAATAGTTCTAAACACATTTTATGCAACATACTTAATTTCCAATTTACTGCTAAGATATACATTTAGCTAATTCCTTCTTCTCTGTTAAGCATTTAAAAATATCAACGCCCCAGTTAATTCAGTTAATTCATTGACAACCGCAGCTTCACACTCCTTTTTGTGCACATGGGGCAATCAGGTTTTTTCTTTCACTACTTATTTAGAAGTAGTGAGGCAATGAGAAGAATTTCATGAAATTCCTAATTTTCCTGCATCTAGACATGATTTCTGATCGTGCAAAGAAGAGAATCACACATGCAGGACATATCTGCATCTATTTGCATATTTACATAGATGTGTGTCAGGGAGGTGTCTCATGTGAGCTTAGTTACACATTTGTCCGGATGTAAGGTGCAAAGAAACATGCTTGCACAAGGTTCAGAAAATCTGCAATTTGTTTTACACAATTTTGCCATATATACACCAGCTTTCAGTGTGAAAGCTGAGCCCTCTGTCATAAACGAGGTCCCTGAATGTTTCATCAAGCAGATTTATATGAATTGTCAGACTAGCTGCTCTTCAAAATAGCATTTCTACCTCTCCAGAATGTTGCCATACTAGAGGAACTACATGGGCACACATAGGTGGAAGTACCACTACTGACAAGTTCAAAAGTTTGAAGTGAGAATTATCACTGACCTCTGTTTTAAGACATAAAAACATTTGGGCACATGCATAATCAGCCACAACAATAAACCTACCAACACTAGTTGTAACTATGGCCCTTTTCACATTTTGTGAAAGGTAAGAGAACAGGTGAGCAGTCAGATGAAGTATATTTGGCTATCTAATGCTCATATGACTGATCTGCTCTTAAACTGCAGGTTTTGTGGTGTGTTGGTTGTAGCTCTCTGAACTGGTCAATCAGAGTCACAGCAATGATTGAGGAGCAAAGAGGAGTCTGTGTATTTAAATCTGACAAGAGATGTTTGGCAACAGCCAAACAGCTGAAAACCTGCATGTTGGCTATAAGAAAAATGTGTTGGAACATTGTGTACTTCAACAGACTATGGGATTTTGTAATCTGTCTGGATGGATCAGTGGAGACAGTGGAAGTAGGCAATATGCAGGGATGAATCCTGCTCTTATCTTTTAAATCATGCTGATAAATTAGTCCTTTTTGTGGAAACTGGATAAACTAGAGGACAAAGTCAAGCTGGCAGAGGCTGTGATGCTAAGGAGATTGTTCTGCTAGAAACTCTTGGCACTTATCAAACATTGAACAGTTTCTGAAGTTCTGCTGTCAACAACATACACCTCCTCCACTATATTTATTCAGGTTAGCATCCTTTCACAAGATAAAACACAGATTATTTTTCTGATCCAGGCCTTGACTCAGCCTCCAACTTTTCTGGATGTCAGTCTACAGGAGGATCTGAGGGGTAAACTAGGAAAACAAGTTCGACCCAGAGACCACACCCTTCATTTTACAGGATTTAAAAGCTCTGCTGCTAATGAGTTCATGTCTGATACCTTCGGAGCTCCAGTAGAATTCATGCTTCAGCATGTTCAGAGTGTTTTGAATGTGCATGGAAACCAACACAATATCAGGCATGAAGTTTAATTGTTAGGGCTGATTGGTGCACAGGAAATTATGCCTGTGTTTAGGATCTAAGGAGAAACTTTACCACATGTCGCTCTCCAGCTTCATTAAGTAATTTTAGTCTATACTGCACACATATGTTTAGGATATTAACAGTAAGAGTTTGAGCAAAAACTGTAAATATTCTCTTTAGAGTTATTTACACAAGTAGGAAAAGTGTTTAGTCAGTCAGAAAGAAAAACTCTCCTTAGTTTCTTCAGGCAGTGAAGGCCCTCAGGGTATTTCCTATGACAGAGGGGATGTTGAAGTTCGAGGACAGATACTCTGTCACAGTGAGACCAACACCTTAAAGCTGCTGACCCCTTCCACCCCCCATCAATGTACATTTGAAACTGGCTTGACTTCCTGAAATCAAAGATTATTTCTTATTTTCTTGATGATTAATGCCAGGGTGTGGTCCTCACACCATGCCAGATGTTATTCCACCCCATCATTGTTTGTGATGAGACCAATAGTGTAGTGTCATCTGCAAATTTAATCATGAGATTAGAATGAGATGATAATAAGAGGCTGAGCAGTCAGGGTTGTTTATTGTGGACAATAGTGGGCTAAGCACACATCCCTGGGGAACCCCAATGTTAATGGTTACAGTGGAGGATACATGCTGACCAACTTTGACATATTGTGCGCAATCTGACAGTAAGTCCCTTAACCAATTGTATAAAGTGGAGTTCAGTCCTAGAGAGACCAGTTTTGAGGTAAAATTTCTGTAAAGATGGTACTGAAAGTCAAATTAAAATCAACAAAAAGAAGCTTCACGTTTGTGTTTTAATGCCTCAGCTGTTGAAGTGTTGTGTGGAGCATGAATGAGGTGGCATCTGAGATGACAAAAATTAAATTGAAGTAGTCTCCTCTATGAATATTTTCAACCTGGAGAAAGAAAGTCCAGATATATTTCTCAATATATATTGCAACCAAACCAATAAATCTGAGAACACATTTAAATATGAAGTGACATGATTAATGTCTGCAGTATTTTAAATATCACCTGAGAGCAAAACATTGATCAGTATGCCTGATGCTTTAAAATTGCATGAAGAGTTTCTGAATAGAACAACCTTTAATTAGCAGCACCCACCTGCAGTGGTGACTGTCACAACTTCACTGAATGGGCCCGTGCCCAGTTTGTTCTGAGCCAACACACTGAACTGGTACTCTGTACCAGGCTCCAACCCAGGGACCACCAACCAGGTCTGAGCACCAGAAACTGGCATCGAATGCCAGTCATGAGGACCGAAGTCTGTTCTTTTAGACCTGAGAAATAAACATTAAAATACACAGAAACATCAGAATGAGAGCGCAGGAAAAAAAATCTATATTTAATCACAACTTATCTGCAGGTCATTATTTTGCTAATCACTATTTTGGATAATTTAAAAATTTTACTTCTTATAGTTCAATGCCTAACAATACACATAATAAACATAATAGTAAGAGTATTTGTTTGTATTCAGTGCATTTATCATAGATTTACTACATTTTTTATTAATTTACCTGAAAGAATCTGCTCAAGTGATCAATAAAGTTTTCTCTAATCTAATCTAATCTAATCTAATCTAGGGGATTTCCAACTATTTTTAAGGTCACCAATTCTGTAAATAGTTCCATCATTTAATAACTTAATTTACAAACTAATAAACAGCTTAAAACATACCATTTATGTTTATAGTTGTGTTTGATTATTTCAAAAAGCAATATGTGGATCATTTGGGTCAAAGATTTTAAAACTTTATTTGATATAAGCCTTATTGTTCAGATAGATAAGATTAAGATAGATAGCTAGATAGAGATAGATATAGATATAGATAGATAGATATAGATAGATGGATACTTTATTAATCATTTAGATACTGATACCATAAACTCTCAGATATCAGTTTCTCAAAACACACTATTGGTTGGTTTTCTAACCATCTCTCAGGTCGGGGGTAATGGGTACCATACAACACAATGGTACTGCGTCTAACTATTTAATGGTCACTAATGGTGTGCCACAAGGCTCTGTTTTAGGACCCACTCTTTAAAATGTATTTAATTAATGTAGTGCAAAACATTCCTGACGCCTCCTTGCATCTCTGTCCTGACGACACAATTGTTTATTCTCTAGCTAACACAGTTGCCAAGGTATTCCAGCTTCTACAGTCTGCATTTGACATCATTCAGTCAGACTTGTTCCATCTCAAACTGGTGCTAAATGCTGATAAAATCAAGGGGATGTTGTTTTCAAACAGAAAATCGGTGCATCATGTTCCTATTGAGTTTGTGGACTCTTAAAAAATACTTTGAATATTTAATTGATGCACATCCCACTTTTAAGCCACATATTGAAAACCTGTTAAAGAAACTGAAATTGAAGCTGGGTTTCTTTTTCAAAATTAGATCTTGTGTAACTCTGAACGCAAGGAAACGACTTGTAGCTGCCACTTTTATACCAGCTATCGATTATGGTAACATTATTTACATAAATGTCCCTGCCAGCTCCAAGCAGATGTTGGATGCTATCTACCATGGTGCACTAAGGTTCATTACTGGTTGTACAGTAACTACCGTACCCATCACTGCACTCTGTACTCCTTGGTCAGTTGGTCATCATTATCTACATGTAGGCTCTCACACTGGTACATCTACACCTATAAATCACTCCTTGGTCTGCTGCCTTCTTAAATGTTCTCTCACGTCACATTGTCGGTGCAGTTAGAGTGCACATTCTCAGGCCATCATTACCTGCAGCGTTCCCTTAGTGCGGACTGAACTTGGCAAAGAGTCTTTTTCTTACTCTGCTCCTGTAACCTGGAACATCTTGCACCAAAATATGAAGTTGTCCACTTTGATTTAAGGGATTAAAAAAATTGATAAGGTTATTGGAAAAATCCAAGCAAATGTGTTCTTGTTTTAGTATTTTACCTTGTTTTATATGGCACTTGATTTGGCCTGATTTTATTGTTTTAATAACACTATAGTTTTTAATTGCTTTTATTGTTGTATATTGTTGTTTATTGTACCTATATGTTGTTAGTCTAAAACAGGTCTCCCTTGAAAATGAGCCCTTGGGACTCAATGAGAATACCTGTATGAATAAAGGTAAAAAAAAAAAAAAATGTAAAACGTAACTGCTGACATTTAAAAGATCTTAAGTGAACCAACATCTTTTATGCAGGTTTTTGATTTTGTTCCTTTGTTCAAGTTCTTACTCGTTTAGGGCTTAAACTGGACGATATCCCTGTCTCGACTCTTAAGATCAATGTTTATTTCAATTTCATCAAGAATAAACAATCAGTTGAGATCGAATGGGAACCTGATGTTATTTTAGCTACACACCACTGGTGTCCTAGTGTACACCAAGACGTATGCGTAAAATAATCCTTTTTAGAACAATTCAGCCGTGAGCTCCTGAATGAAATCTATTTTTCTTTCCATCAATGGTGAAGGGTGTCCTCTTTCGTTAAGATATTGGTCATTAGCTTCAAATATGTTTCCACATCAGCTAGCTGCTGCTATTGATTAGAAGGAAACTAAGAGCACTCACACTGGACCGTACCACACAGAGAAAGTCTGTTCGAAGCCGCCATCGTAACCTGGTTCCCAGGACACATTAGCAGAGGTTGTAGAGGGCAACACATGGATGTTGCCAGGAGCATGTGGGCTGGTGCCTGAGAGGATAACAGAAACAGGAACAGAGTGAGAACACATTTATAAATAATACCTACACTTGTGTGGTGCTAGTATAAATACTTTACAATAACAAGTAGTTGTGATAATGGGAAACTGTATGTGTGTCAGCTCCGGCTGGATGTGATGTTGCCTGAGGTTGTTACAAGTGTGAGGTCCAGTTCATCCCACCCACCTGACAGCTGTGCAGTGTGGCCTGAACCCAGTTGCTTCTCAGTGGGATTAAAAAAACAAAAAGATCTGAGCATAGATACTCATACAGGGGTCTGAGGAGGAGCACAGCTGCCTGCACCGTTTTGTGACTTTGTGCCAGCTGATGGGTAGTCACACTCCAGCTGTGACACAACAACTGGCACCGAGCAGGAAAACCACCACTGCAGCAGAGTTCCTGACCTGCTCACATCTTTGCTAGACTTTAAAAGATAGACATTTGGTATCTTGTTCCCTTTGGGACTTTGGTCACTTTCCTTGTTATCATAGTAATCAAGTAAGTAATACCCTAATTTTTGCTGTATAAATTGAAGTTTTTTGCATAAATTAGCACGCCTGCAACTTATACAGCGAAGTGACGTATTTATGTTTTTTCCCCATATTTATAATCCAATTTTTGGCTGAGATGTGATGATTTCATTCAATCTGACATGGAAAATATTGAATGCCATTTTCAGCCGCTAGAGGGCCCTCGATTAATATGGCAAGCAAAGTGTCTCATTAATAGGTAAAAGTGGCTATTAATGAGACACTTGGCTTGCCATACCAAGCCACCTTAATCTCACTCAGGAACTCGTGGGGCAAATGTCAAATCAGCTGCATTTTGCCGCGCCGCCTAGGTGAAATGCAGCTGATTTGACTATTAGTGAATTTATTAAGAAAAGTTCATCTGAGACACACATTTACTATAATGTCGAGCAAACAAATTATTGTTGTTAATCTTGTTAAATTCTTGTTAAAGTCCTCCCGTGCACACTCCCGCTGCCGCCATTCGAGTGCCAATCGATTTTTGGCACAGCACCGGCCCACGTTTCTGGGTGGTCAGCAGTGATGCATAATAGCTGTGACTAATACGGCGAAGCAACGTATTTATGTTTTTTCCACTTTATTAGACATTTTTGGACTGATGCGACTTATACGGTGGCACGTACGGTAAATGAAGGGTAGCCAACAGAAATAAAAATACAATAATTATAAAAATCAACCATATTGCAGCAGAAAATGCTAGCAAATCTAAATGGTTTTATCTTTTTAACCAATAACTGCTCCCTGAGTAAAAAAGGAAGAGAAGCAGCATATTTTATTTTTGTTGGAATGCAAAATTTTTGACGTCAACCAAATTTAAACTCGGGCATGGGAAATGCTAGTTTTTCATATATGAACACTACAGTTTTGCTTTTGCTACTTTAATATAAACATTTACTTGGAAAATACAGAAACAAGTCCATCTATGAAAATATGCAACTTCAGGCTTGCGTTTATCAATAATTCAGTCAATTTATGAGTAAAAAGATGTCCTTAGTTAAGAAACTCAACAGACAAAAGCTGCAAAGCGAGAATGCATAACACAAGCTCTACGCTATCACAGATAGGGTCAAATTAAACTTTAATGATGTTCAAGAGGAAACTGAGAGGAGAAAAAAAAAGAGTTTGAAAGGTGAGTGTCACTTTGACGTGATGTCAGTGACTCGTCCTCTGCAGGAAAGTGGAACTAAAGAGAACTCATAACAACTAGAGGTCGGTATTTGTAAGCGAGCTGAGCGCGCTGTGCTGATTATTTGTACCGATGACGAGGATGCGTGTGCTGGCAGTGATGCTTGTGACCACATTGGTGGCTACACACTCCCACTCTCCATGGTCCTCCTTGCTGAGGGAGAGAAACTGTAAGCTGCCACTGGGTAGGATGTTGTGCTTGCTCCTGCTTGGCTTCCCCACCTTTAATTAACAAAGAAAAATACAGCGAGGGGGTCAGGCAGGGGCAAACACACACGACTGGTATAAAAAACCTTTTTTTTCTTTTTAATCTACATCACCTTTCTCCAGGTGATGGTGGGTATATCGGGGTCTCCAGAAGCAGCACAGGGGATGACCAGCTCTCTCCCAGCCTCCTGACGGTACTCCCCCCCAGGTCTCACATTAAAGTAAGGGGGATCCTTCACAAACACACACACCAACACAAAAATAATCTAGAAACGGGCAGAATCTAGACAGTACACACATCAAACACTTGAGCAGTGAGCTACCTTTAGCACCAAAGTGGCAGGGGGGGACATGCCCATGGTACCCAGGGCGTTGTAAGGCACACAGGTGTAGGTGCCCAGGGAGTCTTCTGTGGCTTCTGCCACCCGGATACTTCCATCTGGCATCAGGCTCCAACCAGGATACTATAAGACAAGGAGAGGAGGGTGCTGAAATGTTTGATTTCAGTTGGTTTCCTAAACCCTCTATCAATGCCTTAGCTTCAGGTTTTCAGTATGTGCTGCTGTGGTTAGCTGTCTGTGTATGTCCTGCTGCTTCCAAGTGCTGCTCTCGTCACAGTGCGCCACGAGCAGGCACACTTCGTTCCCCCCTACAACCCCCACCCCTGTGCTTTGATGCTGCAACTCAAGATCTGGCTCATTCAGGCCTGGCCGCAGCAAGAACAGAACAAGCAGGTTAGGAAGAGGAGCGTTGTGTTGTATTTTCAACCCCAAAATGATACAACAGCAAATATTAAAGTATTGTCCATTTACCAATAAACGTTGTCCAGAGTCCGTGCCGAACTTTATTTAAAAATAATGTGACTAAAGAGTTTGAGAATAGTTGAAATAAAATAACAAGGATTTTTAATTAATTTGGGGAGTTTGTGAAACAATTACCATAATTTTGCCATATAGGTCACACCTTTGTTGCATAAATTTGAAAGTCCTGCGACTTATACGTCAAAGCTACTAATAAATGTTTTTTTCTCCCATATTTATAAACCAATTTTTGGCTGAGATCTAATGATTTCATTCATTCTGACATGAAAAATATTGAACACTACCATTTTAAGTCACTAGAGGGCCATCAAGTAATATGGGAAGCCAAGTGTCTCATTAATAGGTCAAAGTGGCTATTAATGACACACTTGGCTTGCCATACCAAGCCACCTTCGTCTCGCTCCAGAACTCGTGGAGCAAACGTCAAGTCATCTGAATTTCGCTGCACCGCCCAGGCGAAATGCAGCTGATTTGACCATTAAGTGCATTTAAAAGTAAAAGTTTAACTGAGACACACCTTTGCTGTAATGTTGAGAAAACTAATAATTGTTTTTAAGTGGTTATCTTGTTAAATTTTGAAGAAATGCACAGCGAGTCCTCCCTCTGCGTGCTCCAGCAGCCACAAATCGATTTTTAAAATTCAGCTGATTTGACCAATAAAGTGCATCAATTAAGGAAAAGTTAAACTGAGACACAGCTTTACTATAATTTCCTCCTGAAATGTAAAAAAGTAGACGTAACAATAAAAGTAGCAAGCAAAGCTGCGTGTGACTAGAGTTGTTGAGCAAAAGAAGCTGTTCTATTCTCAGTTTTGAGCCTGCACATGTTTTCTTTGTCTTTGTTGTTATTTCACAGTTAAAAAATCACTTTTGTTAAACCCGCTGTTTGTGAACTTATTGTGCCAATCAAAAAAATCAAAGTAAACATGGTTAAAAATGAGGATTTTAACTTTTAATGGCTTAAACCACCTCATGTGTTACGGTTTCATATATGAAAGCCTGACCTTCTCCACCCTGAGCGGGTAGCCGTCTTTCTCCCACTTCACGGATGTCACCGGTGGGTTGGCGTCCACGGGACAGCGGATGATGCCTGGCAGTTTCCGTGGGACATAGATGACTGGAGGCATGTTGATCACTCGGGCAGGATCTGAACACAAGTTACACATCATTGATTCATTAAGAAATGGACGTTACTTTTATAGCACCTTTGTAGAGCTTCACAACCCTGTGCCCTCATTTATCCACCAACAGCACTCTACTACATCTCTACAAAGTTAATCTGAATCAAACCTCCTACAGAGTCTAATCAGTGCTTTAGACGTTAATGGGGCACACAGATGTTGGACTGAGTGTCTGGCCCAGAGACACTTTGACATGTGACTGTATACTGTGGGATCAAACCCACTCTCTCATTGGTGGATGACTGCTCCAACCACTGTGGCTCAGTGGGTACAGTGGTTCACAGATCAAATTCATTATTAGTGAAACCTTAGAACTGCTGTATTTTCTGGCGTATACGTCACAGTTTTAAGCTTAGATTTGTCAGTCCTGCGACTTATATACTTTTTTTCCATATTCATAATGAAATATTTGACTGATGCTTTAAATTTTGAAGAACTGCAACAGCGAGTCCTCCCATGCACGCTCGATTCACTCAGCTGGTGCAGGCGGAGGAACGCTGGAGCTAGCAGCTCCGGCCGCGATGGATGGATGGATGGATGGTGCTGCATCGCCCAGGTGAAAGGAAGCTGCTTTGACCATTTAATAAGCGCATAATAAACGTGACGTTTCAGCGGTGACGCCTAATAAATGTGACTTATACACTGAAGATATTTACAGCTGTATATATGTTTTTTTCCTCTTCATGATGCTTTTTTTGACTGATGTGACTTATACTCCGGAGCGACTAATACACCGGAAAATACGGTACCTGAAGGAGAACACAAGGAAGCACAATTGTAAATCATCTCCAAAAGACCACTAATTGAGGGTTTTATCAATTTTCCTCTTTTTTTTGTTTTAGGGAGCACTGCAGTGGTGACGTTTACTCCCAATTGCTCCCCAGGTGCTTTCAATAGCTGCCCACTGCACCACCTGGGGGTGGATGGGTTAAAAGAAGAGAGCCGATTTCACCATTGTATGGGAACATCCAATGATGACAACACATAACACATTATTACTGTATATTATTATTATTATCATTATTATTATATTTTCAGACATTTTTACAGATTTTTTTTGTGATCCTTTCAGATTTTTCCCGCTAACTAGAATATTTTTGTGCTTCTTCTAACTTATTTCTGCTTTTTACAGCTCATTTATGTACGTTTCAGCTTTTTCTGCTATGTCAGCTAGTATTCAGCTGTTTTTATGCTAATTTTAGATTTTTCAGATAATTCCACATTTTTTGCACTTATTTAAACTTCTTTCAGCATAATTCAGCAAAAATGTGCTCTCTCCACTTCCTTCTGGTAATTTAAGCTTCTTTCAGCTTTTTTAGCTTCATTTCAACTGTTTGTTGTTAATTTCAGCTTTTTTCAAATAATTTCCACTTTTGTGCTCATTTCTGCTTCTTTAAGCCTAAATGAGTAAGATTGTTCTCTCTACACTTCCTTCTTCTAATTTAAGCTTGTTCTAGCTTTTCAAATAGCTTCTTTTTTTTAGCATTTTTGTAGCTATATTCAGCTGTTTTCAGATAAATTCACATTTTTCTGCTAATTTCTGCTACTTTCAGCCTAATTAACTTCTTTCATATAATTTCAATTTGTTATGCTCCTTTAAGTTATTTCTGATCATTTCAGCCTTTTCTATTTCGGCTACTATATAATAGTTTTTGTGCTAAATTTAGCTTTTTCAGCTAATTCCACTTTTTTCAGCTCATTTCAGCTCCTTCCACGTTCTTCTGGTTGATTAAGCTTCTGTCTGCTTTTTCAACTACTTTTCAGCAATTTCTATGCTAATTTGAGCCTTTTTTTTTTTTGCTGATTTCCAAATTTTTGTGCTAATTTCTGCAACAAAAAAAAACATGTTTGTATGTTTAAAAGAATGACCAAAGTTGATTTGTTAAAAAATAATAAATAGCTTAATGTGTATTTGTATGAGTTGTTGCTCGAGAAGGAGTTATTTAATAATTTTTTGTTATTTGAAGATTATTATTGTTTGAATTAATTTTTTAGTTAAAAGGGGCAGATATTAAAAGATATTTTCTTCTTTCTGCTGCCTTTTTTAAAATTTGTGATTGTACTTCATATTGTAGGTAGGTATAATATATATTTATAATATATATATATATATAATTGTTATGTTTTTAAAAATGAATAAACTTATTTATTATATATATTCTGCTTTCTTCTGCTAACGTAGGCTTGTTCTAGTTCAGCTACATGTGACCATGTTTTTAGCTAATTTTGGCTGTTTGCTGTTTAAGCATTCACACTGCATTTTCGCAGGAAATGCAATTTCTCTTATCTTTACATAACCCCGAGTTGTATTTTTAATGAACTCATCGGTGGACCGGAGAGATCTCACCCACAGCCCAGATGTGGCCCTCGGGCCACCAGTTCAATAGTCCTGGCTAACAAAACGTACATACTTCTACAGGTTTCTATCAGAATCAACATTTTCAAAGTCTTAGATGAGAAAAAAACACGTAATTTGTTTATCAGAGGTTTTAATAAAAAAATCCAATTTCTTGCAACAAAACTAAAATAATCTGTGTTTCAGCTCCACTTGCATTTTCCAGCCTGGGTAACACAATAATATACATTTTCTAAGCATGCAGGGAACATAAAAGAAATGCTGAAAAGGGGAATTAGTAGAAGGTTAGGTGACAGTGAGCAGGACAGTTGTTTAGTTCCATCACTGCATGTGCCTGATGAAGTGCAGCTTTACAGCCTGTAAAATGTGCTTTTATACGTAAAAAATTAACCCTTTATGTACAATGAAGCATATTTAGACAACTATTACACCTCTTAACAATTTCTAAACTGGAGCTCTGAACTTGTCATTGGAATGCAGCTGTTTGTCAAAAATAGATGATTCTTGTGCAATGCCCTGCATTTATGTTGCATTCAGGATGCTGGTTTTATCCCGTCCTGCTGTAGTTGAGGCCTGCAGTGCTGCACTCTCTCTCTCTCTCTGTGTGTCTCTCTCTCTGTCTTTCTCTCAGCGTAACAGAATAATCAATGACCAGCAGCAACTTGGAAGCAATATCAACCTAAAGCGGAATAAAGACCCAAAACGTGACGCCGTTTGGTTCAGAGGTGGCACTCCTCGCTCTTTGCTGATGTAGAGGAATGTCATCTTTTTATGTAAGGTGTGTGTGTGCATGTGTGTGTGTGTGTGTGGGGGAGGGGCAGATTCATGCGTATACACACTCAGAAAAAAAGGGAAAAATGGCATCTATGACTGAATACGTCACCAGTTCAAGGAGCACACTGGAGTCAGAATGGATCATTTAACTGAATGTGTGAAAATGGTTAAAGAGGCTGATATTATTATTTTTCTTTAATGGAGGAGTTTCTGTGTGTGTGTGTGTTGGGGGGCTGGTGGGGGGGGGGGGGGGGGGGGCGGGGGGGGGGGGGGGGGGGCGCTTGCTGTTGCCTCTGTCACCTGACCTTCAAATTCATACCCATTTCTTCTCGTTTCAATCAAGGAGCAGCCAAAAACTACAGCCTCCGTGCTGCTGCTGCTGTTCTCCCCGCACGGCTCGCTCCGCCCCTCCCCCCTCCACTTTGTTGCCACGGTAACACTCACACTGAACAGTCAGGTAGGCTGATGCTGAGGGCGAGATACCGAGGCTGTTGCTCGGACTGCAGGTGAATTTCCCGGCGTCCTCCGGCTTGACCCGGAATATGATGAGCGTGCCGTCGATGAGGATGCGCACTCGGAGCTTCAGATCGCTGCGGGAAAGAAAAAAAAATAAATACTCATGTTCTTATTGGGAACTCGTCGACGGAACAGGAATGAGCTCATGCATCTACTACTTCTTTCATGTGTGTGTTAAATTGCATTAAAGTGCCATAAGAGAGCAGCAGAGAGTCAAACAGCAGCCAGCAGAGAGTGGCAGAGAACACCGAGTACAAAGCCATAGATTAAAAAAAAAAAAGTGTTAAATGCAATGGCCTTCATGTTTTTTATCATAAAAATCTCTATAATTCAACATACTACTTGTGGTTTTTGAGTGTTTGTCCACAAAGCAGTTCAACATTTACACCCTTAAACCACATGAAAACAACATATTTTAAATCTTATATTTTAGCTCCTCATAGCTCATCTAATTATTATTTTACAAATTACAGATTATCTTCATGGCTTACAGAACTGGCTATGCATGATGGAAACTACAGAACTTTATACTGGCACACAAAAAGAGCTCAAACGACCAGTTTTCTCTTCCCGTGACATGACAAATGCTGATCATCTGAGACAATCGCATGTGTTGAAATAACCTTTAATCAAAGTCAAAAGTCAAAGTTTCTTTATTTGTCATTTGCGCCACATGTGGCACATGTGGCAGAACAAAACTGTGTACACAGGGTCCCAGTTACATCCAACAAAAGTATAAAATGTAAAAGAAAAACAGTAATAAGATGTAAGATATGAACTAAGAAAAACATTAAACTAAAAATACAATAAGCACTAATAGTACAAAACAATACGCCGAACAGCAGCACGAACATGAGTCTGTGTGAGCAGATGAGTACGAATGAACACAGCAACATGAATAAATCAGCAGCATGAGATCAGCAGCATGGAACAAATTGTGAATAAAAACTGAATGCAATGATGTGGAGATGGCAAATGTTAATATTTTATTCGTAAAATAACATAGATGACAGATCAAAAGTTTAATCTGAGTAAATGTAACATTTTAAAGGATAAATATATTGATTCAAAATTTCACAGTGTCAACAAATCCCAAAAAAGTTGGGACAAGTAGCAAAAAGTGACTGGAAAAAAGAAATTGTGCATATAACGAACAGCTGGAAGACCAATTAACACTAATTAGGTCAATTGACAACATGACTGGGTATAAAAAGAGCTTCTCAGAGTGTCAGTGTCTCCCAGAAGCCAAGATGGTAAGAGGATCACCAATTCCACCATTGTTGTGCAGAAAGATAGTGCAGCAATACCAGAATGGTGTTACCCAGCGTAAAATTGCAAAGACTTTTAAGTTATCATCATCAACCATGCATAACATCATCAAAAGATTCAAAGAATCTGGAACAATCACTGTGCGTAAGGGTCAAGGCCGTAAAACTCTACTGGATGCTCGTGATCTCCGGGCCCTTAAACGTCACTGCCCTCAAACAGGAATGCCACTGTCAAGGAAATAACAGAATGGGCTCAGGAATACTTCCAGAAAGCATTGTCAGTGAACACAATCCACTGTGCCATCCGCTGTTGCCAGCTGAAACGCTACAGTGCAAAGAGGAAGCCATTTCTAAGCAAGCTCCACAAGCTCAGACGTTTGCACTGGGCCAGGGGTCACTTAAAATGGAGTGTGGCAAAATGGAAGACTGTTCTGTGGTCAGATGAGTCACGATTTGAAGTTCTTTATGGAACACTGGGACGCCATGTCATCCGGACCAGAGAGGACAAGGATAGCCCAAGTTATCAACGCTCCGTTCAGAAGCCTGCATCACTGATGGTTTGGGGTTGCATGAGAGCTTGTGGCATGGGCAGCTTGCATGTCTGGAAAGGCACCATTAATGCAGAGAACTATGTTCAGGTTCTAAAACAACATATGATCCCATCTAGACGTCATCTCTTTCAGGGAAGACCCTGCATTTTTCAACAAGATAATGCCAGACCACATTCAGCAGCAATAACAACATCATGGCTACGTAGGAGAAGGATCCGGGTACTGAAATGGCCAGCCTGCAGTCCAGATCTTTCACCTATAGAGAACATTTGGTGCATCATAAAGAGGAAGGTGCGACAAAGAAGGCCCAAGACGATTGAACAGTTAGATGCCTGTATTAGACATGAATGGGAGAGCATTCCTATCTCTAAACTTGAGAAACTGGTCTCCTCTGTCCCCAGACGTCTGTTAAGTGTTGTAAGAAGAAGGGGGGATGCCACACAGTGGTAAAAATGGACTTGTCCCAACTTTTTGGGATTTGTTGACGCCATGAAATTTGGAAAAAGATTTTTCCCTTAAAATGATACATTCTCTCAGTTTAAACTTTTGATCTGTGATTTCTGTTCTATTCTGAATAAAATATTAGATGTTTGCACATCCACATTCAGTTTTAATTCACAATTTGTTTAGTGCCCTAACTTTTTTGGAATCCGGTTTGTATATACTGTATATGTGTGTGTGTATGTATGTATATATATATATATATATATATATATATATATATATATATATGTGTGTGTGTGTGTGTGTGTGTGTGTGTGTGTGTGTGT